GTTCTTCGCGATTAATAAGACAAGTAGCAGAGTATCCGTCTATCGATGCTTTGTTGTAACATCTTGGCGACTAATAAATAAGAAAAGCTTAGAAAGATTGCCTTATGTTTAATACAGAAAAGACGTTCGTAATAATAAAGACGATGTATAACACCGAGAGTTTAATATATTCGTTAGAAGGTTGATACTCGTAATATACAACAAAAGTTATTGTGAATCCATCGTTATTGTAAATACCGTTATTGTGAATCCATCGTTATTGTAAATACCGTTATTGTGAATTTATCGTTATTCTGTTCAAGTTAAAATATTATTTCGTCAATGAGGGGGAACCTATGCCAAAATGTTAGTACAGTATTGGAGCCATAGAGACATGCGGATACTCTTGATGAAAATCCAATCGGAGCATTATAGTGGAAAGAGAAATATTAATGTTGAGGCTGAAACTAACCGTCATTAACGAGATAATCTACGATATAATGCATAGCGGGTATTAGATATTTTATATATGAGCGCATTCTTCGTCCGCTACGTTTTATCAGGAACATCTGTTGAACCTGACCTTCGGTGATATATTATTCGCCTTCGTCTGTATGATGAAACAGCTAATTCTCTAAATATATATTAACGGAATTAATAGGCCATCAAGAGTATCTGAAGTGTTGTATTCTTATTTAATTGTTATATATTGATAATTATTACGGATAGCATAGAAAGGCCGATGGAGAATATATCTATTGCCTAAGATATATTCGAGACGCAATCCCAATGTAAGTCTGCGAACAAGAGCTACGAAACACGAATCATGAAAGATAATAGTCAACGTAAAATCATTCGTCTAGCAATAGTAAAATCATTTGTTCAGCAATAGTGAAATCATTCGTCTAGCAAGAAGGAAATTATTCTCTAAGGAATAATTAGTTATGATACTGTCCGATCTTAGAGATAGAATTACAAAAATATACTTAAATAGTATAATAAAGTTGGCTAAGTCGGCGGCCTCATCACTAAGCATCGACACTACATGGCCCTATTGTCGCGGTGAGGGGCGCAACCGCCTCGCGAAGAAAACCGCTGACAAAGACAGCATATTCAGATGTTAAAAACTACCTATGTTCTAGCATTCTTATTATCTTGTAGAGAATTACATTAAAGGCAAGCATAAACTGAGAGTAAATCTTGTGCAAGGTCATGCTGTATATATTTAGGTTTACTTGTAACTTTTGGCTTTGGTACACTGTCATGTTGTTTTACTTCAAGATGGTTTCCTCAACTGATTCTGAAATAAGTTTTTGTTGTACTTCAACATTACTTTGTTTATGATTATCCTTAGGTTCTAAGATATGATCATCACCGTTATTCGTATGGTACACAAGTACGATCATTGTTTCAATTTTCAAGGGGAAATCATTACGGAAAATGTCAATGATCAAACTATTCAACAATCGGTTCATCCTAATCCTAATTAATGACCAACACTTATCTGCATCTTTTGATCTTGATCAGGATCGGATAATAATAAGAACTTTGAGAGAGACAGTAATTGAAGTTTCTTCTTTTTCTATAATTACTGGCCGTTTCCAGAAACCGTTCTATGACTCTTATATTATTTTCTTAATGGCAAATTCTGCCTACCGTCCCTCCAATCCCTTCCATAAATCGTTTGGACCTCAGTGCATATTTTCTATTTTCGTATCGTCTGTAGAAATCAAATACAGATGGAAGAGTTTCCTTTAAACCATTCCAAGTGTGATCGCAATGTTGTTGTGTATATCGTTTAGCAGCGCCCCAATATTTCTCAATGAAATTTAACTCGGGATGGAATTTGGAATAGAAGATAACTTTATGGCCCATGCTCTCAATTACCTCTTGGAGTAGCGGTTTTTTTAGCTTTGAAATCTTCTTGCGCTGCAAGAATATGACGCGCACAACAATCATCATTCGTTACAATCGTTTTTTTTCCCCACCACAGAATAGTCTAATCTATTATCATTCCATTTATACACATCAATTCATTACTCTCATATTCAATCGCATCGTCTGTAAAATAACAATTATCAACATTGTCGATTATGGCGTTATACAGGGAATCTGTTGGTTTCTTCTTTTCCTCGCAAGCTCACAACAGTGTTGAGTGCGGTTTGTGGGTCTACCCATTATTAAAGAGCGAAATTTTTTCATCCAAAGCTCACATAATACAAGATTCCTTTTTGTTAAGGCCTTTAGAAATGGCCTAATTTAAGATAAAATTTACCAGAAAAAGCTGTTTCAAATTTCTGCTCACTATATAAATTAACTAAACTTTGAACAGTTATATCTCAAACCACATGTAGCATTTGTCAATTTCTAAACATCGTTTATCAAGAAGAACAAAATGGCGTTCTTAAATTTTGAATTATTATATTAATACAGTAATGTTTGTATTGTTTGAAATGCATTGTTTTTGTTTTGTGTCCCCCAAGTTTATTATTCATATAATAAACGATATACGATATACTAATACCTATTGATATTAACTATCCCTGGCCACTTCAGTGATTCTGCAGCCATAAACCGCGGATTCCGGAACCGCTGGGTATACATTAATTGATCTTGTCCATCAATTCTCGAAATTGATTACCAATATACGCATATACTTGATCTAATAAGGCCCGTTGTATCAATCAGTTCTTTGGAGAACTGTGAGTATAATTAAAGCCTACTGCATTAGTGGTTTAAGCAGTAGATATTAGCTAAACCTTGATTGAAGAGCTAAACCCCAATACCAAGGCTCAACAGCACCATATTGACAGTACATTCTGTATTGAACAGTGAAGAAGAGAAGGTTTGGGCTGGTGCTATCTAGGAATAAGTCTGAGTAGTAAAACAAATGGGGCAAACTTCACAAACATAACCAAGTCCAAAAGCTTAAGGATAAAGCATTATCTACAATCCTACCTCATTTATATCCCCACCTTGGGACGGAGCTTTTTCGGGGATATATTCGAGGTGGGATACAACTAAGGTATATACAGGGGGGTATCAAAAGTATTGCACGCTTTTATTTTTACGATATTGGAAAAAATTTTTACTCAAACCCCCCCAAAAAATTTTATTTACTTAAAGTAAACATCAATATTTAATATTTCCTCCATTTACAGCAATATCAAATTACGATATACTTTTGCAAAAGCGCATTGCATTGTTCTTTACAGATCATACTTCCGAAGTTTTCCCTGATTCATAGTAGCAAGCTCCGAAAACCCGTTGGAACTGTTGTGCGATGGTTTCTTATCATTTTTGCGATTGTTGCGTTCTTGGCTAGCTAGTTTTTTTATTGTCATTATGTGAAATAAGCTCTCTAGCAAGACTCGTTTATGCGCCGAAGCAGAAAATTGGGCTTTTTACTAATTAATTATTCTCTCATAATGATACAGTAAGTGGTCCAAAGGTTAGTTTTTTTATTACATAGAAATTTTTTCCAATATCGTAAAAATAAAAGCGTGCAATACTTTTGGTATGTGTGTGCAACGTTATTTAAAGCATGCCCTGTCGACTAACAGACCTACAATAATTTGTAAAACTTTTTTGATGCCATCGAACAACACTTGGTATTCCTTGGATTTCTTATCTAGTGCTGCTTCATTGTACTCGATGCTGAAAGGACCTCTACTTGCTTGTCTAACCTCCCCAGGGCAGTAAAGTAAAAAATGCCAGTCTCTAGCGGAAGTGACAATCCCGTAAAGATAATCATACTCGTCATCTTGGCGTTTGCGCTTTCTTTTGTTTATTTCGTATGATGTTTCGAGCTGTTTTATGTTCTGTGCAAAGCCCTCCGTCAAGCTTGCGTTGAACTTTATCCTCGGTAATGCAGATCAAGTTTTCCTGTTCCTAGTTAAAGGTAAATTAATAAATGTTACACTTTGGAAGACTAATAGTAATAATGATACCTTGATTACATAGCCTGCCAATAATTTCATACTCTGGTCTCATGAGAAAAAAATTTTTGCTAGTTTTGTGAGCAATATGCATAGCCGCATGCAAGCAGTGTAGATACATATTCATTTCTCATTGACTCCAGACTACCCACGGTTAGTGTGCCATAATGCTTCATCCGGAACAAAATATCGTCTATGCAAAAACGGAAGTGTTTGTCATCGTCTGCCATTATGCCGGGTTCTGGAAGGTGGAATGACGGAATGCTATATGGGTCCTCGCTGTCAATATTATAAGTTAAGAGAACGTTTCTGAGGGCTTCGGAAAGAAAAAGCCCTTGTTTTTTTGTTTCTTTTGCAAAGTCGGCTAATGTTATCGCTGGACCCCATTCAAGACCAATGTCACGAAAATCGTTTCTGGACATCTTAAAAACGCCTTGCCTGCGATTTTTCCCTGTCGAAGGATTCCGAGATTCTCACCGTCTAGTTGCAAGTCTGACACTTCTAAAAACTCAAGGAGTTTCTCGGTGTCCATCTTTCTAACCATTTTAGCCAAAACGGGTGTCTCTTTTTCTTCGGTCTTATGACCGGGAGAAACCGAAACAGACGTCTACATAACGGACGAATATTGTGATAAAGATATTCTTGCCTTTTGTAATCCAAAGGAGGAGGGGCTAATACTAGAATGGAAAAAATTTTAATTTCTTTGATGATTTCAGAAACGCCTGCTTTTCTTAACAAATTAAATTCTGTATAAGCACCATTAGCAACCAGCTGGGCTTTGACGACTCCATGTCGAGCTGCTTGAAAGAATATTTTTGTAAACCATTCAGTTTCTTAAAGAAAATCCCCAACACAGAATTAAGATCTAACCTTTTCCGTTGTCATAACGCTGAGCCTTGTTTAATCCAGTTGTGCTTGATCTTTTCACAACCTCAACAATAAGATTCACGCAATCTACAGTCGTTTTATGGTATAGTTTCTAATCAGTCCAAAACTACCATCACACTTAAAGTTAGTATGTCCAGGTATCATAAAATTTAATTTGATACTTTCATAATAACTGCAAATCACTAAATATAAATAAAATCAAATGGTGGCATTGTTTTTATTCTGTACACCTGCGTTATCACAAGTAACCTTTAAATGTTTTTCGCCTTTATTCAATTTCTTTATTCCATCGAATACCATGCTCAGCGTACCATTAGGACCTTTGCCGATAATTTCGTCTATGTCGTATTAATGAAATCTCGTCTACAGATTAACGCGGGATCAATGTAGTCGTTTTAGTTACCCTTTTCATACGAATCAAGGTTTTTGTTAAAACTTTGTTTGGGTTAAATTCCTAATTGGGTGGTCGCTGAAATAAACGTAGAGATATATAGTCACAATACAAGTCTTTCCTTTTATTCGACATCTCATCTTTGACATCTCTGGCATGTAAGCGCTAGTTGATTATCGAACAAACCATGAGATGATACATACCGAGCATGAATAAGATATTTTGAGTGGTGCGTGTGATATTTAGTAAAATAGTTAGTTGAGGAGAAAGACAATGCGATTTCACTTTAATTGGTACACTCCCCTTTTACCCGTTTCCAGTTTCACTATCTTCTTCACCATCTCACCACTCTACATAAAAATCAGATCTATAGAATATGCTTATCCTCATTTTCACGTAAAATAAATCAAAATATTGTATAAATGATGTATATTATTGTTATACTTTCTCTTCACATATCATTACCAATTGATAATTCTCTATCTAATTATGTTAACGAAGATAGTGTCGCACAATTGTTTGCTACCTATAAAGGACCGCGTTCTTGTTTTATTGGATAAAACATATTAAGGCATATGTATCAGTCTGGTATAATTAATTTCATCTGTCATGTCAACATATTAATAGTATTTGTAAGGCTTAAGTTAATTAGTTAATACTGTACATGTAATTCGAAAGTGAAGATGGATACTATAATTATCAAAGCGTGCCTTCCTTTAATGTTCAATGTGATTATCAAAGTTATTATATGATGCATTAAATAATATTGTACGGTATAGTAAGCAACTAAAATTGGATTATGGGATTTCTCATATAAACGTAAATGAATGAATGTCATGATGTACATTTTATCGATCTGCAAGCATAGTCGTATTCCCATTGGACGGATGCCAGACGCTTTCCAATACAATGCTTCGACTCTCATTTTCACTTTGCGAACGGTCTAGTCTAGAGGATTAAAGAGGTGTATTTCATTAGAATTACGGGTAGTGGCGTGCCTTTGCTTGAACGGCAGTAAGCTGAAAATGATATATTAATGCTCAATTCGCCGATGCGATCGATTGTATTATGGGTGATACTGGTTGGGATTATCCCGCCGCAGAATTTTCTCTCTCACGTGAATATGGGAACGAGAAGAGAAAAATATAGTGTGTAACGAAAAAAATGGCGGAGACAAAAAATTGTATACACAGTGACTCTCTTTATAGTGTATCAAAAAAATCTACTAGTAAAAATTTCTCAAAAATACACTATCGAGAGCTTTTGAAAATTTATTACATACTTTATCAACCAAATAAATTTTAATATGAAATTCGATCTCCATTATTTTCTATAACTACACTCACTGGACAAAAAGTATTGTAAATCACATAGTAAAATATATGAGAAATCTATTTTTCATTGAACGTATTAAAATTTTCACTATTTGGTCTGAAATGTTTTCCCATTCTTCAACCATATATTGTCTTAATTCACCAATGTCTTGTGGCATACGTTATTTTTACAATTTGCCACACATTTTCGATAGGATTTAGGTCTGAACTGTTGGACGGCCAGTCCATGACTCTAATTTTATTTTCCTTGTAAAATTCCGTTGCGACACGTGAAGCGTGCTTAGGATCATTATCTTGTTGTAACTCCCAGCAGTTTCCATACAACTCTTTTGCACTTGGAATAAGTTGGGTCTTTAAAATGTTCGCAAAAAAAGGCCTATCCATAATGTCTGTGAAGCAAAACAAAGGTGTCTTGCCTTTTAAATAATTTCACCCCATGCCATAATTTTCTGGCGTGACTTTGGTAGACGTCGGATGGGCCTATTGTTATCTTTATGCCATCTTGACACCTTATTCCTAAAAAGATCGAAGGCCGTCTCATCTGCAAATATTGTTTTGTTCCAGTTCTTGTTTAAATGAGCTTGTGCCCACGCTTTTCGTGCCTCCATATGACGATTGGTTAACATTGGAGTTGCAAGAGGCAGAGAGCTATGGTATCCCCTTTTTTTATATGTCTCCAGACAGACATATGCGAGATTCATATGTTGTGCTCATGTTTAGCTAATAGAGCAAGGTGTCGTAAGAGCCGAATTCCGAAAAATATGTTGGCCCAAGGAACGAGCGAAAGTTTGTGTAACCTTCGATGGCCTGCCACTACCACGCTTACGTTCAATGCCTCCTGTTTCTGGAGTTTCTTGATATTCCGCTCAACAGTACGAAGAGAAATGCGAGTGTATTTCCTTTGCAAGGTTTTAAACACGAAACAGAAAAAGATAGTGAAAGCTTATAGTTTATATATTTAATAAAATGTAAACAAACAAGTATTAATGTAGGAATCGCGTAAAAAAAACGCGTTTTGTTGTTTTTTAATTATAACCAATTTATTATCTTCAACCGCCATTTTTTTTCGTTACACACTGTACAGTCACCGGCAAAAGTAATGGCGGTCAGTTTTTGGGATGTTGTGAGCGCAATTTGGTATATAAACACAAATA